TAATTAATATATATAAAACAAAGTATGTTGTAATATTTTACCTTGTAAATATTAATAATATTACTTGAACTAAATTTTTTAATTGATCTGATTGGTTATGTAGATCTTTATGACTTGTTTATATAATTTTATTGGTTAGTCTATTTTTAGATATCACAAATATTATATCCAAATTCAGATAACATATTTGAATTTCTAAAATCTGCCTATATATTACATTATATCTTATCTTGAAATTTGATTAGCCAAAAATCACAGATGTGAAAAATTTTTGTAGATACACTATGGGGGTTATTGGCACAACATACCCCAGTAGCACTAACAGAATTTTGCTAATCTGCATTCTAGAACATTTTGATCAGCCAATCAAAATTTGTTTATTTCTAATTTTTGACTATTTTTTTAAAATTATAGTGATGTTTTTCTCCTAACTACTCAATTAAACTTAATAAAATAATGTTATTTTAATTCTATACATTTGTGGAATTAAAATAAAAAAATTTTTTAAATTAGAATAGTTTTCTGTCGAGAAATCTTCCCTAGAAGTTTAAAAATATATATATGGAGAATCTGAAAAAAACCAAATTGGACAAATTTTTACAATCAACTATTTAAATTTGATGCAACTTTTTTATTTTAATTCTATAGGTTCATATAATTAAAATAAAAAAAATTTAGTCAAATTTGAATAGCTAGTGTCAAGAAATATTTATTATAAGTTAAAAAAAATTTTGACCACAGCTTTCTTTTATAAGAACATAAATTTAATCAAAGATTACTTGGCAATTACCTTGTCAAATTTAATCAAAATTTATTTATTTTAATCACATAGAATCAAAATAAAAAAATTTTGATCGAATTTGACTAGGTAATTGCCAAGTAATCTTTGTTTAAAGTTTATGTTCCTACAAAAGAAAAGCTGTGGCCAAATTTTATTTAACTTATAATGAAATTACTTAACATCAGCTTTTCAAATTCGATCAAAAATTTTTTATTTTAATTCTATGAAGCCACAGAATTAAAATAAAAAAAGTTTTATCAAATTTGTACAATTAATTTTCAAAAAATCATCAGTTAAATAGTTTTAAAAAAAGTTATAAAAAAGAAATGCTGCAACAAAAATTTTACTTAAATTTTAAATAAAGATTTCTTGACAACCAACTATCTGAATTTGGTAAAGCTTTTTTTATTTTAATTTTGTGGCTTCATAGAATTAAAATAAATAAAAATAGATCAAGTTTAAATAGCTGAATGTTGAGTAATATTCATTATAAATTAAAAAAAATTTTGCTGCAAATTTCTTTTTATATGCACCTAAACTTTGAATAAAGATTACTCGGCAATTACCTAGTCAAATTTGATCAAAATTTTTTATCTTAATTATATATGATTATAGAATTAAAATAAAAAAATTTTGATCAGATTTGACTAGGTAATTTCCAAGTAATCTTCGTTCAAAGTTTAGGTGCATATAAAAGAAAAGCCACAGCCAAATTTTTTTTTAACTTATAATGAATATTACTCGACATTCAGCTATTCAAATTAGATCAAAATTTTTTTAATTCTATGAAGCCACAGAATTAAAATAAAAAAAGTTCTTCAAATTTGGATAGTTGATTGTCAAGAAATCATCATTTAAAGTACAGAAGTATAAAAAAAGAAAAAATTCATCCGATTTTGGTTTTTTTTCTGATTTTCTGTTTTTTTTTTTTAAACTTCTAGCAAAGATTTCTCAACAGCCAACTATCCTAATTCAATGAAGGTCTTTTTTATTTTAAAAAAATAGTTAAAAATTAAAAATAACCAAATTTTGATTGGTTAATCAAAATGTTCTAGATTGTAGATTAGCGAAATTCTGTCAGTGCCACTAGGGTACTTTATCGGCTGCAACAAAATTGTCATAGCAGATTCTCGATTTTGATTGCTAACGGCGAGGATCTTCAAATTATGACCCACATTACATAATTATTTTCTAATTTCCGACCGGAATTAACTTTTTGACTTTTTCATTACAAAAATATATAAAAAATAAGCCTGCATTATGGTATCATAATGGCACGTAATAACGCACATGCGTGTTATTTTGAAACACACCTTTTTTTTTGAAAATTGCATTTTTGACTCGAAATAACACACACCTTTATATAAGTAGATCATATATTGAATTGACCATCTCTAAATTTGTCAGAATGATTTGAAATATTGCCATGCTCGTCCCGAAATAACACGCATGATCTCGAAATAATGCACAGATGCGCGTTATTACGCGCCAATACGGTAAAATTGACCCAGAAACATTATGAGCCGTATCTGTCTATTAAAGCCCAATTTTCACTTATTGTGCAGCTGCGATTTCATTAGTAAAATTATGAGTAATTCCGGCCTAATTTTTTGATCGTCGCTCTTAGCCAATCAAAATCGAGAATCTGCTGTACCATTTTGTTACGGCAGCTATGGTTAATGATCGACATGAGCACCCCGAATTTTTTTTTAAACGTGAATTTTATATTTACTTATAACTTTGAGAGAAGATATTTCGGCAACTATCCAACAAAATTTAATGAACTTTCTTTTCACCAAGAAACAATTCGACTAGGTTAATTACGATATATATTTTTATTCTAGTTTTATTCGGTTCCAAACTAATATGTTTATCTATCGCTATACCAAACTAATGAATCAATATTTTGTGAACGTTATTCATAGAGAAAGTTAAATTACTTTTAAAAATCGGCAAAAGTGGTTATTATTTTTACATGAAAGGCGTTAAGAGGATAAATGCAATACTGATTAAAAAGTAATACGTTTAAATGTCAAAAGACAGTTACTTATATATATATAAATTTGCAATCTGACTCTTGATCGTAATATTTTTCAAAATCTGGCCCTTATATGCAATTATTTCCATTTTGGGCCCTTATTTGTAATTATTTTCATTTTTTCGGGCCCCTACAAGTAAATTCCCCTTATTTTTATTTATTTAATAACTATATATGCAATATATACCAAGAATAAATTTTTATACATCAGCCAACTTTTGAGATTTACTATCTTGTAAATGAATAAAAAATGAGATAATATCATCCTTTATTAAGCTCTTTAGGTCTTCCCTAAATATACTGACAGACCTTGTATGAATATAAACTAATAGTAACTCCTGATTACGTATCATGTATCTAAAAATAACAACGATCTAACTATAATGGAAGATAGTATGAAACGTAATTATATTCGGAATATATGCCGAAATAGGTACACAATAAATATTACATGACGGGATGAACAAATAAGGAAGGTCAATATTAAGAGAAATCCGGAGAAGCACGGTTATAAAAGTAACACTGGTTAAAGTATGGTTTTTTTTGAAATTCATCAAAAGTTTATTATATTTCTTGTAGTGGGGGGTTTTTTTTTTTTAAAAAACTTATTGGAACTTCATTTTTTTTTAGTTTAACACTCTTTGGTTTTTTTTCTTTATAGTTTAATAATAGCATGGGGTTTTGGGAATTTGTTAGTAAAGTAGTAATAACCACTACTGTTGGTATTATATTAGGCCCTGCTGCTATTCCTGTCGGTGCTGCTGTCTGGGGTACAAGTGAAATAATTAAACAGAATAGTGATAATAAGGATGTTCGAGGAGTTTTTGGCTTTATTAGTGATTGCGGTCGCGAAACTTTTACTGGTGAAGTAATTGGCTTGGCTGCTCAAGGAGCTGTTACGGTAGTAGAAATAAGTAAAACAATTAGTTCGACAACAGCAGAGCAAAAACAGCAGCAAAAAAAGCAGTTGGAGAATACTTCATAGTAGATGGTATGAAAATACTTGCTGATGTTAAAAGAGCACAAAATATAGCTCTTATAGTGGAGCTAAAGTGTTCGGAGACATCAAATTTGTACTTCCAGAGTTGAAGTAATTGATGCAATTAAGCATTGGATTTATTTGGACATTGGACAATGGAATTAGTAATTGTAAAATTTGGCGTTGTAATTTCTTTTGTAATTATTTTTTTTTCTTGTTAACTATTTAGCATTATTTTTTCTCTCTCTTTTTTTTTTAATTTCTCCATATCGAAGTAAAAATTTAATTTCATTATTTATAGTAAATTATAAAATTTCCATATCTTAAACCTGTTAAACACAAATTTTTGACCATAATTAAAGTATCAATTTTACAAACATCATGGTATAAAGATAAAGTTATGAACGGATATAAAAAATATATTGATAGAATTAAGTTTTTTTTTTCATTTTAATTTTTACTAGAACCACATAAATTATGAATGTTTATTTGATATTTAAATATTCTGAGGATGCTACAATGTCGATGTCATGAAAAATAAACACGCTAAGAAGCACATGTAAATGTGTTCTTTAAACATATTTTATACTAAATCATCTTTTGTTCCCGAAATTATTTTTAGATTTAACTCAAACAAATATGTATATTCCGGTCATTTATATAAACCATCATTATTTTATTCATTAATATTTTATATCGTATTTTCTGATACAAGTTATTCACTAATTTAGAAAAATCGAACTTTAAATATTAAAATGTCTATAACTAGCCCGTGTTAATTTTTTTAAGCGCGAATACAACAATCATAACAATTAAAAGTTATATTTTAATTTACCATACTACTACAAAATTTCTTAAAAATTATATTATTTAATTTTAATGATTAGAATATTTCTATCAAGCATTTTTGCCAAGATGATTTTACGAATAATTCAAACAATTACTAATGCACTATATTTTAAATTAGCAGTATAAATAGATAATTTCTTAACCAATCAATATATATATTTAAAATAAGATACTCAAATTTGCAAATAATGAAATATACACCTTAATTTCGCATTAATCTAATTAGGTAAGTATATCAGGTATCATCTTGAGTGACGCCAAGAGTAAATTGGAATTCCCCTGGCGTACTCATTTGTTACTGTATTAATCAGTATTCTTTAAGGTAGTATGAGGAACATATTAAGAATTTTTGTTAATCAGTTATTTAAAATAAGGTATTTAAATTCGCAAATCTTCATTAGGGTATTTCAAAATTAACATACATATTAGGAGATAAAAAAATGAATTTGGAATTATGAATATCAGATTAGTATAAAGTGTATTTGATAGCTAAATGTGTAATTTAAATTCACGAATCTTTATCATTATCAATCATATAATTTTAATCTGTTACAATCATTATAACAGCTTTTTATAGTTGGTTAATGTTAATTATCATTCTACCGGCACATTATTTGTTGGTATTACTGCATTAAACAATTATTATTCTAACAGCACTTTATAGTTAATGATAATAATTATTTTAACATCTATTTGTAGTTAGTATTAACAAGTTTTATAATAGTTCTATAGGGTTCGATTTAGTGTTTGGATTAAAATTGTTGCATTATATATTAAAATTTAACTGGAATTTTTTCTGTTAGATCATAAAAAAAAAAAAAACAGTTATAGACAAATTATTGTCACATTATGCTCAAGAATCAAAGAAAAGACCATGTAGATAATAAATATTAGCTCAAATGTTGCCATTTTTATAATTTTATAAATTATTAAATTAAGCATATGTCTGTTGCACACATACGTACAAATATTTAAACTTATAAAAATATGTACTTAATGGATTGGATTTACCTGTACTAGATTTAGTACACAATTAAACTAAATTTAGTTCAAGTAATATTATTAATATTTACAAGGTAAAATATTACAACATACTTTGTTTTATATATATTAATTA